CAACAGAAACACATTTCTTATTCCTCTGCTCTGATGCATCAATTGACGCAGCTAGCTGCTGCAGAGATGCAGCTAGTTGCACAGCTAGCTGCATCCACCTACTGGCGGCTCCATTGGGTTAGCAGCTAGCTACGCCTCAAGACAGCTAGCTACACAGCTAGCTAGCTACACAGCTAGCTAGCTACACAGCTAGCTAGCTACACAGCTAGCTAGCTACACCTCGAGACAGCTAGCTACACAGCTAGCTAGGGAGCTAGCTACAGGCGGTGTTTGTGTTGTTTAATAGCTGTCACGGGCGTTTGCGAGTTCTTTTGGCTGGAGTTTCCTTCTTCTAAACCCTAAACCCTAAACCCTAAACCCTAAACCCTAAACCCTAAACCCTGAGCCCCTAAACCGCACAGCGCTACATTATATTTATTATTTATGTAATCAAACACAAACAAAAACCTAAGTAATAATACGTTTATGAATATAAATATAAATATAAACAAGACAGAATTACAAATAGGATTAAACAGCAAAGGGATAAACCCTCTTATTTATTTCTGTCTGCAAACAAAAACAAGAAAAGGAGAACGAAGTTTGTTAACAATAAACAAAACCGAAAAAAGAAGCTTATGTCGATAAGATAATAATATTAGTAAATAGAATAATATTAAATAATATAATAATATAAATTTATATAATAATATTAATTAATATAATAATATTAATAAATATTTTTTATAATAATAGTAATGTATATAGTAGCATTAAGATATTAATAATAATAATATTAATAAAAATATGAAGGCGGAGGTTAAACAAAACAAAGTTTAGAGAAAGAAATATGAAATATAATAAAAAGAGAGAAGAAAATAAATAGACAAAAACACAAAATAAATAAATAAAACAAAAAAATAAATAAACATAAATACGATTTAAATAAAACAATAAAAATATAAATAAAAAGAAAAAAAAATTGAGTAATTAAAACACAAAATTAATACATCAAACAAAAACAAATAAATATTTTTTTTTGTGTATAAACGGCAAATTTATTTCTTTTTTAATTTAAAGACTAAAATAACATTCAATTATATTTATATTTTATTCTTTTTTTAAATTTAAACACAAAAATATTTAGTTATATTTATCTTTTATCTATTTTATTCTTCTTAAAAATTAAACATAAAAAACATTTAATTATATTTATTTTTATTTATTTTATTCTTTTTTCTACATTTTTTCTTCATTACCTTTATAAGCGCTTTTCTATAGGGGGGCCCCCGGGGCCCCCGGGGGCCCCCCTATAGAGAAGGTTGTTGTCGATATTTTTTGTTGTTTTGTTTGAATATTCATTTAAAATTAGAATATTATTTTATTGATAATAATAAAAAAGAATTATATTTTTATTTTTTTTGTTTTATTTCGTCTTCTACGCAGTTAAAGAACCGCTGAGCCTCGCGCCCAGTGGTGGTGAGGTGGGGGTTTAGGGTTTAGGGTTTAGGGTTTAGGGTTTATGTCTGCAATCCGTCTTTATGAAATTCTTTTTTTTGTTATTTTTCTCAAGATTGTTTAATATAATTTTGTTTTACATGTTTTATTTTAGGCGCCGCCCACACCTGGGAGCTCTTCTTTTTGTATTATATTTCTTAGCCTTCTTGAGTTAATTGCTGCAGCTAATTTATTATCGATGAATTCCGGGGCGCTGGCTGCTGCTGCTGCTGCTGCGCTCCGTCGCCAGACCAGCAGCAGCAGCAGCAGCAGCAACAGCAGCAGCAGCAGCAGCAACAGGAACGACTCTAATACCAACGGCTTTTCTCCCCCGTCTGTCTCTTCAGCTGCTGCAGCTTCAGACCACCCACAGGCGCCTACAGCTACCTCTGCAGCAGCAGCAGCAGCAGGAGCAGCAGCAGGGCGTGCATGCAGTGCTAGAACGCCTATCTGTGTGTCAACATCTCCTTGTATAAGGACAGCCTCACATGAAAGCAGCAGCAAAATAAAGATAGAAGATAATATATTAGGCGTTAATGTCTGCTTTCCTTACACTCTTTATCCTTCACAGAGACAGCTTATCAAAGTTGTGCTGCAGTCGTGCTTAAACGGAGAGCATGCACTATTAGAAAGCCCCACAGGGACGGGCAAGACCCTTTGTTTGCTTTCTGCTGCTCTCGCAGTCCAGCAGCAGCAGCAGCTGCTGCTGCAGCAGCAGCTCCTGCTGCGAAAAAACAACAATCAAACTGCCGCAGCTATAGCTGCTCGTAGACACCTCCAGCAGCACCAACACCAGCAGCAGCAGCAGCAGCATCTGCTGCTGCAGCAGCAGCATGTCCCTGTTGTTAACAAAATAATTTATGCTTCGCGCACACATGGCCAGCTGCAGCACGTAATGCAGGAATTAAGAAAAACCCCTTATGCTGCTTCTTGGGCTAATAACCCTTTCCTGCAGCAGCTGCAGCAGCAGCAGCAGCAACTGCAGCAACTCAAACTGCAGCAGCAACATAAAACAGATACGAAAAAGACATCTCAAGTTGTGGGGTGGAGTGCGCTCGCTCCGCCTTCTGCTTCTGCTGCTGCTGCTGCTGCTGCAGGACCAGCAGCTAGTACGGCCCCAGCAGCAGCAGCAGCAGTAAAAGGTGCAGCAGCACAAGTGAAGTCTGAAGCAGCACCATCAGCAGCAGCAGCAGCACCAGGAGCACAAGTGAAGTCTGAACTAGCAGCAGGCGCAGCAGCAGCAGGAGGCTCTTCTCCTTCTCCCACCCCACCCTCCGCAGCAGCCGCAGCAGCAGCAGCAGCAGCAACAGCAGCAGCAGCAGCAGCAGCAGGTCGTAGTAGCGGCATCCGCGCGTGTGTATTGGCTTCTCGCGATTATTTGTGTGTAAATTCATCGCTCAAAAATATCAAAGGCGGAGCCCTCGTGAGAGCATGCAAACAAAAAATAAAAACACAGGTCGCCAGACACTCCTTGCTGCTGCTGCTGCTGCTGATGCTGCAGCAGCTGCTGCTGATGCTGATGATGCTGATGTTGCTGCTGATGCTGCTGATGCTGATGATGCTGCTGGCGCTGCTGCTGCTGATGTTGCTGCTGATGCTGCTGGCGCTGCTGCTGCTGATGCTGCTGCTGCTGCTGCTACTGTATTTTTTGTCTGTTTTTTTGTTTTTATTTTAATATTTTGTTTATTTTCATAATTTGTTTATCTTTACGATGTTTGCTTGCATAATATTTATTATCTATTATTATTTATTATTTATTATTTATTATTTATTATTTATTATTTATTATTTTTATTCTTAGTTGTTTGTTATTTATTTGTTAAATTCATTTATTAATTTGTTTATTTAAATATATTTATTTATTTAGATATATTTATTTATCTAGGTATATGTACTTATGATAATATATATATATATATTTATATTTATTTGTTTACTTAAATATATTTGTTTTAATCTTCAGACTTGCCCTTCCTACTCCGGCTATTTATATGCATTAATGAACATAACATTTATTTATTTATTTATTTATTTATTTATTTATTTATTTATTTATATTTGTTTTAATCTCAGACGTGCCCTTACTACTCGGGTTATTTGCGTCTCAAAGATTTTCTGTCTGCTAATTTATTTTCGACTGAAGGCGGCGGCCTCGACATCGAAGAACTCAAAACCCTCGCAACCTCCGTAAACCCTAAACCCTAAACCCTAAACCCTAAACCCTAAACCCTAACAAACCCTAAACCCTAACAAACCCTAGGGTTTTGGGTTTTGTGTATAGGCGGCTTGAGCCTAAACGCTAAAGCCGCCTATACACTAAACCCTAAACCATAGAACCTAAACCCTAACAAACCCTAAACCCTAAACCCTAAACCCTAACAAACCCTAAACCCTAAACCCTAACAAACCCTAAACCCTAAACCCTAAACCCTAAGCACTAAACCCTAAATAGTAAACGCTAAACCGTAACGCTAAACCCTAAACGCTAAAGCCTAAACAGTAGACCCTAAACCCTAAACCCTAAGCTCTAAACCCTAAGAAAACCTAAACCCTAAACACTAACAAACCCTAAAAACTAAACCCTAAACCCCTAAGCGCCTAACTTTCTTTATTATCAGATTTGTTTTTATTGTTATGATTATTTATTTACGCGATTTGTTTATTGAATTAAAATTTATTTATTATGAAGTTATTAAATTATTTAAACTGTACAATTATGTATATAATATAATAAATATAATATAATAAATACGATGTGATATAATATAATATACTATAATATAATATAATATAATATAATACAATATAATGTATAGTATAATATATACTATAATAAAACAAATATAATATCTATATATATATATATGTATATTTATATATATAAATATATTTATATTCATATATCTATATATTTATATATTTATATATTTATATATTTATATATTTATATATTTATATATTTATATATTTATATTTGTGTTTATATAATTATATAATTATATAATTATATATTTATATAATTATATATTTATATTGATATATTGATATATTTATAAATTAATTATTTGCAGGGCTGCGACATATTCTGCCCATTTTATTTTACGCGGGAGTCGCAGCACCGCTGCGAAGTAATTTTGACGCCGTATAATTATTTGCTGTCTTCAAACAAAAACAACAAAATCTTATCTTCAGATCTTCTCTGCAATTCAATTGTCTTAGTTGATGAGGCTCACAACATTGAACAGGTATTTTAAACAGAAAACAAAGTTTAAAAAAATTATATTTACTTTTCTTTACCTACTTTCTACCTACTAGGGTTTAGGGTTTAGGGTTTAGGGTTTAGGGTTTAGGGTTTAGGGTCTAGGGTTTAGGGTTTAGGGTCTAGGGTTTAGGGTTTATGGTTTAGGGCTTAGGGTCTAGTGTTTAGGGTTTAGGGTTTAGGGTTTAGGGTTTGTGGGGTGTATGTACAGGTTGCTGAGGACGCCTGGTCGTTTACTCTGCGCCAAGTGGATGTGGGGAGGGCA